TCGAGATGTTTTATTCCGGTGGATTGAGTTGATGACTTGCTCAACTTTGGTATTCTAACCGAGATGTTCTAGTCCGGTTGGTTGAGTTGTTATACTCAACTTTTTAGATTTAAACCGAGATGTTTTACTCCAATTGGCTGAGTTGATGATTTACTCAAATTTTAGATTCTAACCGAGATGTTCTAGTCTAGTTGTTCGGTGGATTGAGATGATGACTTGCTCAACTTTGGTATTCTAACCGAGATGTTCTAGTCCGGTTGGTTGAGTTGATATACTCAACTTTTTAGATTTAAACCGAGATGTTTTACTCTGGTTGGCTGAGTTGATGATTTACTCAACTTTTATATTCTAACCGAGATGTTCTAGTCTGGTTGTTCGGTTGATTGAGTTAATGACTCGCTCAACTTTGATATTGAAACCGAGATGTATTTACTTCGGTTAAATAAGTTGATGTTCTACTCAACTTCGAGATTTCAACCGAGATGTTTTACTCCGGTGTTGAAAAAGTTGATGTTTTGCTCAACTTTGTGATTACAACCGAGATGTTTTTTTTTTTTTTTTCCCGGTTGAATAAGTTGGTAATTTGGTCAAGGGCCAGTCGTTGGTTTGTCTAGCTGAGGTCGTTTGCCCGGCTGAAATTGTTTAGCTTAAACACAGTGCAAACACTTGACGCAAATAGAACTTTTCATTAATAAGGAACAACATTACAAAAGGTGGGGCACTAGCCTGGTTACATTTTCAAGCGAAAAACAAAGAAGACAAAGAAAACTAAACTAAGGGGGAAAGGTCTGTGAATTCATCCCCGGTCGCGGTTGCCTCCAGGTCAACCGTGGTTATGGTCTCCTGGACACCGGTCTGCTTCTGGCTGGCCTGCTTTGAGCGGTTGTCACCCTCAGCATTTTTCTCGGCGTCTTCTGCTTCTTCTTCCTTGGTTTCAGTCTGTAACGCGCCAAAGATGTCGTTGGCATATGGCACAAGGTACGTCGGTAGGAAGGCAGTTGGGGGAGAGGCAAACACGTCGGTCCCAGATCCTTGGCCGAGCTGTTCACAAGCAGCCTTCCAGCCCGCCTTGAAGAAGATGTCTTGGGTGGCATGGACTTGCTTTGTGTAGTTCTCCTTGGCCTCCTTGAAACCGGCGTTGTTGGCGTCCTCCAGCTCCTCCTTCCTTGACTGCTTCAACCCCTCCAGCTCGGTTCGGAGAGCGTCCCTTTCTTGCTTGGTGACACCAAGCTGGCCGAGCAACCTGGAGTTGTCAGAATTCGTTATCTCCAGTGAAGCCTTGGATCGTCCGAGCTCGGCTTGAAGGTGTTCAACCTGGCTGGCAGCGTTGGTTGCCTTCTGCCGGAGTCGGTGGATCCTCTCCAGCACCAAGTGTTGTTTTTGGATGGCCTGCAAGAAGAAAACTTTATCAGAGGAAGAAAACTGAGCAAACACTTGGAAAAATTTGACCAAAGTACGCAGAGTCCTTACCCGGGTCATGGACTTGACCGAGGACTTCACCAGCCGAGTGTCCGGTATGTGGTCGCTGCCTACCACGTTGCTCGGTAACAACAAGGCTTTAGTAAGGTCAAAGGCGAGTAGATGCACCTTGTCACCTTTGACCGAGGCAGTCACCGGGATCTCTTTACCCCGCTGCTTGAGCTGTGGTTTCCATGGCGGTATTGGGTCAGTTGTCACCGCTGGTTGCTCGGTGTTCAACTCCGTAACTAGCTTGGCAGAGGGGTCGGTACGTGGCATTTTCCCAGCTCGGCGGCTTTCTTTGCCTGCCTGTACAGCGGCAGGAGATGCCAGTGCAACTACGATCCCGCTCGATTGACCGGTAGCTGCTGTGCGGGGTGGGATAATCGGTAGCTCGGTGGAGGTAGCAGTGAGGAGGTTTTTGATGCAGTTTCTTTTGGCCATCTCTTCTGCCTTGGTCAACCGGATAAGTGGCATGTCCGGCAATGTGGGATCGGGAGGGAGAGATGGTGTACGGAGGAAGTCTATAACCTTACTCCGGTGTGAAGTTGAGTACCTGTAAGTTGGTACGTAATCGAGGAGTTCGTGGCAATCCCGGTTACGGTAGCGAAGCACGGTTCTGATGGTTGCTTCGTTGGGATCATGGTAGTTGGCTTGCAAAGCGTCGATTACTGCAAAGAGGAAAGGAACAAAACACATTAGTACAAAATGGTTAAGAAAAATAATCTAACCGAGTAGTTAGCGCGGCTTACATGTTTCGCCGAAATTCTTGCTAATAAACCAGCCCGGCACATCGACTGTCTCGTAATTACCGAACACCCAGAAAAAGTCGTCGTCATGTAAGTCTTTGTCTAGGGTACCGGTCACTATTTTCTCCTTGCCCAGTCTGATCTTTAAGTAATAGGCCAGACCATCGCCTGTATGACCGAGGGTATACTGGCGAAGTTTCTCGGCCATTCCTAAGTTGGTTCCTAGCCGATTATTCAGTTCGTGGATCTCGTTAATTATGCGGTAGGTGTTGGTTGAGACCTGGGTTGAAGCTAGCCCGGTGCGTCGCAAGAATTCGCAGATCAACGGGTTAACCGGGAAGCAGAGGCCACCTTCTATGAAGGAAAACACAGTGAAGGGGCACTGGTCTAATCTGCTCCACGGGGTCGTGTCCTCGGCGCTGAGCTCTAGGTGAACGTCATCTGGGATACCATATTCTTCTCGGAACGTGGCTAAAGCAACCGGCATGTCGACCAGGAAGCGGTAACGCCCCATTTGTGGCCGACTGGTTTTAGCGCGGCTGAGGTGGTATGGCACAAACTCTGGTTTGGTGGCTGCTCGGTCTTTGAGACCCTCGGTGTTGGTGTGCGGTCCCCTTGGACTCTGCAGGAAAATGAAGGTAAGTGTAAGCGGAAGCGCGGTCGCGCAAAACGAGCTTGACTTTAGCTCGGTCAGGTAGAGTGCCAGACCACCTCGGTCGCGAAGGGAAACATAGAAGCTCGGCCGCTCAAGCGGACCAGATGTTAGCCCGGTCGAGCGGTCAAGTCCTCTGCCTACCTTGGTTTCTATAGGGGTTTCTACAAACTTGCAATTTGCTCGGTTTAGATGTTTTTTGGGATCAAAAGAAGACCCGGAGCCCGGTCCGCTCTAGATCTTCTTGTGTTTATCACTGGAATTGAAGGCTTTTGGGGAGGTATATCCTAAAACCTATGGACTTTATGCCCTAGAATGTGAAATACCAAATATAAAAAAGAGAGCAACAAAGAGGGTTCGAAGAACTTACCAGTTTGGAGGCAGAGGCTATTTCTGCAAGCACGAACGAATAAGAAGAACAAGAATGGAGGTCAAGCACTGTAGCTCAAAGACGTCTGGAATGAAGAAGAGTTAGTAAGAACAAAGTGGAGGCAGGGTTGGCATGTGTTATAGGAGTGAAAAGGCCGCCCAAATTTGAATATGAAGGGACAGTTGGGTTGGCTGCTCGAGGGCCAGTAAATGATTGACGCGTGTCCCAATCGACGGCGGCGTCAGAATTGAAGAGACAGGAAAGCGAGTCGAGGCGTCAATCGAGCAAACTGATAAACGGAGATAAGGATTTAGCGCGGTTAAGGTTTTGCAAGTTAAGAATCGAGAAAGAATCTACCCCGGTCGGTTCATATAATCCCAGTTACGCTTTTGCGAACGGAATTAAGGGGTAATTGAGAGGGAGATTTATAGTCTGGCTTTGGGCCGTAGAAGAAGCTGGATAGGATGGGGCCGAGCAAGTTTGGGCCTAGCTAACTTGGGCTTACCCGGGGCTGATCTCGCTCGGTCGTGGCCAGGGCCTGAGGACGGTCTCATTTTTTGGACTGAGCTTCTCCAGATTGGAACTTGCTCGGTCGAGGACCATCCTCGAGGTCCACCTTTGCCAAGACAGGCTCCTGCTACCCGGGTTTTGTGGGAGCACGATTAGCTCGATTTTGTCGGAATGCTACCGAGCTCGGCTGTATGGAGTTCGGCGAATGGAGCACTTGCGTACGCTGCGCTGTGCGGTCAGGAAAGGCCGAGGTTGTTCCGCCGGACTCCGGTAATCCAGCCTGACGGTTTGGTTAGGTGGTGATCGCAGGATTTGTGCTGACAGATGGGAGAGCAGCACCACGTGTCAAGAGACTAATGGGAGCAGATTTGGGCGCAGAAAGTATATAAGCGAGTCTGCGCCCCCCATACCTGGGATGGAACATTTTTTGGTGAGAACAACCTAAACACTCAACTCTCTCCTCTTTCTCTAGATCCCTGAGTGTGTGCTAACTTGACCGTCGGAGGGGTTTTTCGGCCACACACCGCCGGGTAGCTCACCGCCGTTGTGTTCGCAAGTCGATCGGGCAGACAAGGAGCTTGGTGGAAAGGAGTACAGGCTCTGCGGAATATTTGTTCCCCATATACCGTGCATCGCACGAGTTACTAGTAAATTTTTTAATTATGTCACATGTTATGTTTAATTATAATTTTTTTTAATTATAACTTAGAAAATTAAAATTATATTATTTTTTTTAATTATAAAATACATATAATACACACCCTTTAAAGAGTGTACACTCTTACTTATCTAACTTAACTCGCATGAGTTAGTTTGACTCTCTGTTGGATTAATATATATTTTTTAGACCTTACTTTTTTTTTATTTAGGATAAATTATATTATCCTCTTTTTAATTTTTTTTTAAAATTAAATCATATAAATTTAATATAATTATATGAATTTTCTTAAAATTTTAATTCACATAATATTTAATTTCCTTCGCATTAATGATTCGTTAATTATCTATACACCATATGTATTAATTATCATCATTTTAATCTTATTAAAAAAAATCAATATAATTATCTCAAACTGATGGGCTTTAGTATTTGTTTTTTCTAACCTTTTGGATAGTGAGTGTAATTTACCACTTCCTTCAATAAAAGAAGAGAATTGAAAAGGATGTAGCCAACCCTGTGATGACATATGGACAACCATCCACTAAAATTCAATCCATGACCCTCTTTGCCCATCACTCAATGATGAGGCTGATATTGAGACCCTCAATCCAGGCCAGAATTGGTCTGAAGAAACACACAAAAGAAAAACAAAGAAAATCTAGAGAGAGAGAGAGAGAGAGAGAGAGAGGAGAGATGGAAGCCATGGGTGGGTGGTGTTGTAGTAGCAGTAGCAGAGGAGTTCCACTAATCAATACCTCACCCAAGAAAGGAAGCAGCAAATTGTCAAGAAAAGGACACTCTGTCTATCTCCCAACCCTTCTTGTTAAATCTATGGCCACCCAGAAGCCAGCTATTCCTTCACCCACAAAAACTGTTGCCTCTGCAAAGGTCAGTATACATGTACATATATATATATATATATACTTGCTGTATATTATATTATAAGTTACAAATTTTGATTTGAATATGAATTTTATTAGTTAAGGAAGACTTTGATCGAATCAGTTACATGAGACAGAACAATTACACTTTCCTTTTATATATAGTACATATGTTCATGATATTTCTTTTAATTTGTTTTGTAGTTTTTTTGGTTATTCTGTTTTTAAATTTGGTCATGTTTTGATTGAGTTATTGTTTCAGAAAAAAAAAAACCCTTGTTTAATGAACTGTCTAAAAATTAAAATTAAAACTGCTTTGCATAAAAATGAATTTTTTTTTCAAATTATGTGTTTTTTTTGACTTTATTGTTATTTTGTTTCCAAAAAACATGAAAAATGAAAACATAATCAAGCACAGCAATGCTGTGTTTGTTTTACTTTTGGGCTTTAATGTTAGATAAGTCAGCATATCATTGGTTTATATGGGAAACATTTAAGCATTTCCTAATTTTCTCCCAAACAAAGGACTAAAAGAGAGAAAGCATGTTGATAGATCTGACCTTCAAAGGGTTTTTCTGTTACAATTCGTTTTGTAGTAAAACCTAAGACTGACCATGACTGCTGCAGAATCCTCCGGTTTTCCCGCTTGGTGAAAAAGGCCCAAGAAACAGCTACTCTGCCAGCACGACACCGGTCAAACTCCTAACAAGGGTGGAGCAATTGAGACTCCTAACCAAAGCTGAGAAAGCTGGTCTCCTATCGGCAGCCGAGAAGTTTGGACTATCCCTCTCCACCATAGAGAAACTTGGCCTCCTCTCCAAGGCTGAAGGGCTCGGAGTCCTTTCAGCGGCAACAGACCCCGGAACTCCAACAACCCTCCTGAGCCTGAGCCTAGCATTGCTGGTGTTGGGCCCTGCTTGTGTGTATTTGGTCCCGGAGGAGTACCCTTGGGAAGTTGCGTTGCAAGTTGTCGTTGCCCTAGTTTCCGTGGTCGGTGGATCGGCTGCTTTTGCAGCTTCAAATTTTGTATCAAACTTGCAGAAATCATATTGAACTCGCGAATCCAGACACCATGTACTACATAGGATTATGGGTCTTTGATTCCCCCCCATCCTTTTTCATATTATTATCAAAGAAAATAAGTACAAATGAGTTGTTTTTGGATGTGATCAGTCATCGGACAAGAGAGAGAATAGAAAGATCCATTAAAACACATTTTCCGCCTTGTTTATGAAAGAATCATTCAATGCACTGAACAAATTTACCAACTCATTTTAATCTCTAATCATGATTTTGTTTTCACTTAATCACAAGCTCTGACAATGATCCCAACAATGAAAAAAAAGTGGGTCAACATAATAAAAATATAAATAACTACATCCTAGAGTCAAGAAAATAAAATTAAAAAAAAAGAACGAAAGAAAGAAAAAGAAAAAGGAACAGAAAATAAACATCTCTCATTTACTGTCAAAAATTGTCTGTCGACAAGATAATCGCTAACCTTTACCCAGAAGCAGCACTCTTATTCATCCCACCTTGACGGCCACCTCTTCCGCTTCCGTTCTGATCGACTCGTTGATAATTCTCTCCATTGTGTCCGCTTGGGCCCTTGGGTCGACCTGAAAACTCGCCCTGGTTTCTGAACTCGTTCCTGCCAAAGCTCCTACCACCACCACCACCACCACCAAAGTTCCCGCGGCTCCTGAAGTTGTCATTCCGGAATCCACCCCTCCCCGAAGGGTACCTTCCTCTCGCACTACTGCCAACTGCAAAATAAAACAGCATAGTTTGTCATCATTAAGGCCCAACTACAAATGTACATGAAAGTACCGGGTTTTTTTAGTTCAAAAAACTTGCCTCGAGTTGTAGTCCTCTTTTCCTCAACAACAGCTTGGCGACCCCCAATTGTTAGAGGCGAGGCCTGAAAACATTATGAGTCTTTCAATGTACATACATGAATGGTAAGCACTGCTGATTTTGAGCATTGAATAGCTTAGAAGCCAAACCAAACTGGACCACTGTCTGATTAAACCAAGGGATAAAAAATAGAACTTGCATATGAAGAAAGAAAAAACAACCTTAATTTACTTGAACAGTTTAGCACTATTAATTCAGCGCTACTACAGTTTCGGTTTTTTTTAAACACTCATTTATTGCAAGTTGAACCAATCCCGCTATAATCAAACTGAACAAGGCCGCAAATAACATCTCCTCCTGGCTCAATGACTCAACTGGTTTCTTTAACAGCACTAATTGATTCTAAACTATGACAACACATGCAAGCATGTATATGAAATTAATAAAATGATGTGAAAATCATAGATATCTAAAAAATAGGTTCCATCCCTCTCCTCTAAGTCCTCAATCAGACTCATCAGACTCATCACATTCCCAACAAGAGAGTATTCTTTGAACAACTAAGACTCTTTATCAGGACACAATAGGAAACTTCACATAATGCCTGCCTGCTATCGGGGGTTTGTGGTTTTATTAGGTTAAAGATAACTTCTAGGATTTCTGGATAGAAACGAGTTTGGGGATTAATTTCCAAAGTGTATCGTTGCAGGATGAGATGAGAAAAATAATTGAAATATTCAAATGTCTCTTTGTTTCTCTCCTGTGACTACAAGGCAGGGAAGAAATTTCTACGCCCTCCCTCTAAGAAACTTTTTATTCCTCATTCTAATTCAGCTTAACTGTCCCATTCCTAGTTTAAAAAACCCTAACACAGGTTGCATCACACATGGATATTAAAACATGTTAAATTTTCTCAACCTTCTCCATAACCTCAAAAAAAAATATGCAACTGAGTTGGGTTTATGAAGATCTCATTTTCCAGAAAAGATATGCAAAATACAGCTTAAAAGAATGAAGAACAAAGTATCGAGATGGTACCTTTATAGCACTCTGCATGGAAATCCGTGATTCAAACTCAACAAAGCCAAAGCAAAATCCTTGCTGCTGGTCACAGAATATAAAGATGAAACTCATAAATATTGTGTCAAGAAATTGCCCTGGGAAGGACTAGATAAAGCAACATCTGAAGCAAACCTTATTACTTCTGACTTGGATACCTCCGCGCTTAATAGACCCGAATTTTCGGAACTCCTCCTCAAGCTGTGCAACCATCGCATTCACAGGCAAATTCCGTACATGTATGGAGTAGCCTTCAACTTTAAGGTGCAAAGGAAATCAAAATCAGAATACTGATTTCAGAATCAGAAAATTAAAAGCATAAAGACATACGGGACGTCCATTCACACACCAAAGGTCATATGTTTTATATCAAAGTCCACAACAAAGAAGGATGAATCAGGTCTGCTGAAAGAAGCGTGTGCATAAGGGTCCTAAACACAAACAGGGGTCTCTTATGCCAAACAGCTAAATAAGCCACATTTTTCTGAACTTTTTGTCTTCAGCAAAAAATTTTCAAATGTGTCAAATTTTTTACTTTTTAGGTCCGTGTAGTGGAAGGATCTAAAAACTAAAACAAATCCAAAAAACAAAAAGTTAAATTTTTAGCTTCGTTGTCTTTATTTTTTTAATTTTATTTTACTTTTCAAGTCTGTCTAGTTTCGTAGAACCTGAAAGTGTAATATTTTTCAAATTTTTTAAAAAAAGGTTCACTGAAAATGAAAAAAGGACAACAAAAAAGCTACTAAAAGAACAATGGCCATTAGTGTGTTTCTAATCTCTTTATGACATGACCCCATAAACTGTCTTCTACATCGGTCTGACACAACCATACAGTGTCCTCTACAACGTTATGACACCACCATCCAGTGTCTTCACCAATGGTCTGACACGACCATACAGTGTCTCCTATCCTCTTTTATTTTTATGAATTTTCTTGTTTTGTTACTCTCTCCAAACTCAAGTTGGTTAGTTCCTATGGGGCTGTTAAAATTCACCTACTACACACCTACCACTACCACCTACTACACACTCACCTACTTCACCTACTCTCCACCTACTCCTCACCTTTCAGAATCAGAAAATTAAAAGCATAAAGACATACGGGACGTCCATTCACACACCAAAGGTCATATGTTTTATATCAAAGTCCACAACAAAGAAGGATGAATCAGGTCTGCTGAAAGAAGCGTGTGCATAAGGGTCCTAAACACAAACAGGGGTCTCTTATGCCAAACAGCTAAATAAGCCACATTTTTCTGAACTTTTTGTCTTCAGCAAAAAATTTTCAAATGTGTCAAATTTTTTACTTTTTAGGTCCGTGTAGTGGAAGGATCTAAAAACTAAAACAAATCCAAAAAACAAAAAGTTAAATTTTTAGCTTCGTTGTCTTTATTTTTTTAATTTTATTTTACTTTTCAAGTCTGTCTAGTTTCGTAGAACCTGAAAGTGTAATATTTTTCAAATTTTTTAAAAAAAGGTTCACTGAAAATGAAAAAAGGACAACAAAAAAGCTACTAAAAGAACAATGGCCAAACCCAAAAAAGCTAGCTTGCTGATAAGCAAGCAGAAAGGATGGGTACCTTCTTCATGAGCATCAGTACTTTGAGGAGCACTGTCGCCAGTAGGAGCTGATGCTTCTAACTCAGGAGATGGTTTTGCAGAACCCAATGACTGTAGATCAGCATTTGCAGGTACCACCCTCGTGTTACTAGTAGGAACATAGACTCGAGTAGATGCTTTAGCAACCTTACTTACCTTCACCTATATGAAATTCAGTCAAATAAAATGTCACGATAAGTGTCAATACTAAAGGCTGTAGAGGAATTAACTTTGGGTCGGGCATGAACTCACGATTGAAGCATATGATTTCTTCTGTTCATGAGCGTCAGAAGGATCTGAACTAACAACTGTATAAGTTTCAATCTGACTTGAATGAGTTGGGGGTTCATCAATAACTTCTTCTTCTAAAACTGATCCTTCCTCATGATCTGAGGGGTCACAGACTTCTGGGCCATTATTTAGATCCTCGGTCTGGAAGGTTGCAACAGGCTCCAATGGAGGATGATCAGGACCACGAATGGGCTCTGAAACAATGATAAAAGATATAAACAGATAGATTATGAAGAGAACTACAGTATCGTAAGTCAAGGATGCAGAATTAAACCAACCTGGATCTAATGGCAAGGGGGACATTGTAGCATTGCTGTTGTTGATGCCATTATTAACTGTCACGGAATTGATGACCTCCAATGATTCACTTTCCTCAACATACCTAAAAACATCATTAAGGACAAAGTAGCCTTTCTCTTGCGGAGCTAGAAAGAAAGTCTCTGTAAATTTCTTTCTCACATTGTCCTTCCCAGTTAAGCATCCTGTTACTAGAACGATAACTCCTTCCTTGTAGGATTCCTGGGCATCCGCAGTTTTTATCTCTGCCTTGTAGTTTCCGTAATCCAACGATAGAATCTTGTCATTGATTGCCTGATCCATGGCAACAAGAACAGGATTTTGTTTATCAGATAACAGTGATCAACAGTTAAATTTGGAACATTTCATTGAACACTGAGTTAGGAAGGGATAAAAGTTCATACGACTACTTAAATGGTGTTTGATAAAACTAAAAACTGAAAATTAAGTACTAAAAACTAAATGCTGAATTCTTTAAGCTGAAAAATTGTTTGATAAAAATTTAAGTGCTAAACTAAAACAATTTGCTTGATATGTATAATATTAAATTTGAAAATTATTATTTTTATATTGTGATAGTGAGTTGGTGGTAGTCGTGGTGATAGTGGTAGAGGCAACAATGGTGGTGGAGATAGAGAGATAGTGGTTGTGGTGATGTTGGGGGGTTAATGTAGTAGAGATAAAAAGAGGGTGGCGGTGGCGGTGGTGTAATGATGGTGGTTGTTATGGCAACAGTGGCAATGATTTTGGAGTTGAAGAGTTGTAGTATTTATAGTTGTGGTGGTGGTAATGACAATGGCGATTGTGTTGGTGGTAGTGAAATGATGTTGCTGCTTTTGGTAACAATCACAATGGCGATGAACGTGGTCGTGGAAGGGTGGTGGTGGAGGCGGCGACAACGATGGTGGTGATGGTGGCAATTGTGAGGTTATAACAATGTATGTTAATGCTTATGTATAAATATTTATAAATTCAATTAGAGTTAAATAAGTTTCCTACATCTTAAAATTTTCTTAATTTTTAGCCTATATTTTAAGAGCCACTTAAAATTTTAAGTGATACCATTTGTGGTTATCAAATGGACTTAATTTATTTTCACTTAATTCATTCAATTTTAAGTGTTGAATTGTTATCAAGCACCACCTTAGTACAGTGAACGAATATGTGAGACATTAGTCAACACAACATCCAAAAGCAAAATAAAATAAGCAAGTTGTTCAACAGCCAGTCTTGAACCTACCCCAAAAAAGAAGTCAAGTGCAAAAAAGAAGTCAAGTGTAATTTCATCTACAAGTTCCTAGTAAAGTATATGAAACTTACCTACCTGAAAGTAGCAATTAACTCTTTCATTTTTTATTTTTTTTGGGACAGGGAAGCTCCTGACCCAACCCAGTGAAGTATAAGCAAGTTTCTCTCAAAGACAATGTTGCTCGTGGTTCTTCAAGATTGTATATTGTACTTTCTTGGTTTAACTGAAATATATGCTACATTTTTCTCCAAGGCAAGTTTTAGACTCTGAATCTTCCCATCAAGGTTTTATTATTATTATTATTATCTCATCTCTAGGAGTAGTAAATATATTTAACACGTCAAATATATCTGATGGGGATGAAAATGAGAGTAGAAACTATCTTTTCCAACAAATACTGCACCACATCCTTACCTTTCCTTTTCTTCACCTCTTCCCGTTCACTAGGCTTGATATCTAATTTTTGTATAGCCAAAGAGGTAGAACTCAATAGCTTTGGTTTGTAAGTACAAGAAATTGTGGCATGACCAAAAGTATTGCAATCATCATACTTTTGAGGTCTCCATGTCACCTCCACTCGTGTCTCATAAGCCTTCACCATAACCTAAATTGAACATGAAAGACTTGGTATATTCGAGATCTTGAACTTCAACACACACCTATGCAAATGTAAGCCTACTATGAGATTTAGTGTATTCATCAAGGTACAAAGGCTAAGTAGCATGAACACTTCTAAGATGGTAACATGTCCATTTCTGACACTGAAAGCATTTCATATTACTTATTAATTTTTTTTTAGACTTGCTGGGATGCAAATGTCTATCACTCAAAAACACACTACAAATTTGAATAAAATAAGAGAAGATACAATGACAAAAGAAAAATAATGTAGATTTATATCTACTAATCCTTCCTCTAACTACATTTGAGGAATTAGTGTTATGTTGCATTTTTTTTTCTTATTTTTAAATAATATATTCATATACATGACAATAAATTGATAAAACTATATACTATGAGTGTGTCCCCCACATGTTATATATTCAATTTTCTATAAAATGCCATGTTAGCGTGTTCGTGTAGTGTCCATGTTGTATCACGTGTCCATGTATGTGATTCTTCGAACAAGGTACACCTATCTGACAAAATGATCTGATTTAAATCATCATTTAGTCAAATAACCATCAGCAGGTCAATATTTGGAGTCCAACATAAAACCCTACACATGCTTCAGTGCTACACAAGATTGATGAACTAACATTTCTGAAAATCAAAATTGACTAGTGCAACAACACAAAGACAACATTTCCAATTTTAGAGGGCTGTCCAACATTGGTTCATTGCAAATAGAGAAGATACTTCAGCTTGAAGGCTTCTGGGAGGGGGAAGTTCCAGTTGAAGTATTTATAAAGCATTGTTGGACAGTGCCCTTTGTTTTCCACTGAAATGCATCTGGAAAATTCCAAGGGAATTTGTCTTTCTTTCCATGTTAGAGCAGATTTGGAGACAATTATAAAAAGTGACAAATTGATGCCTGGGCAAAATGTTCTTCTGACTTGATGTAGCATATTCAAAGCAGAGGATATGTTAATTACCTTTGGGTCATTGTATGGTAGGTAGAGAGCTAAGGTGTCCGCTCTATCTCTTGCCAATCTGAATTGGCATGTATTGGATTGTCATAAGATCAGTTTGGAAGGTTCTTAATAGTTACCCTGTACAAAGTAGGAGTAGAGAGTTGTACTTGTGTGTCTCATGTGATTGATTGAACGAAGTCCAATAGACAATCTTTTGAAGATGTCAGCTGACAATTCCTAGTCTAAAGTATCTGGTGTTGAGTACACATTTTTGGCTTTTTAGAGGATCATCCTTGTTCGTTACATTCTTTCATTTTCCTTATAAGTAATACATGTTTCCCATATGTGGTAAACTTTTATTTTGCACTTGTATACATCAGTTTAAATAGGTGGCACCCTCTTTGGTGCCTTCGCTGGCTCGCGGCTTCAAATATTATGGTATGCAAGGGTAACCAAGTAAGTTGATTAAAGGATCATCCAAAAATAGTTTCCTTCCCTACTTGTACAATGTCATAATGTAAATTATCTGTCATGAGATCCAGTAATGAACAAAGATATACAACTGAGTACAAGCCATAATTACACTAGACTCACCTGCATGGTTGTCACTGAAGTCATTACACCATTAGAATCGGGCCGGCTTAGGACACTTGAATCTTGATAGAATTTATAAACCAATTCTGGAGATTCATGAAGAATATGGTAATACTGCTCAACAAAGGCATTACCGACAACATGTGCACTGGGAAGAGCAGCAGCAGGACTTGCTGTCTGCATTGCCATCTGCATGAAATTAAACATCAACATAAAATAAGAACGTATATGTAAATTAAATTGATAGAAAAATATATCTGAAATAAAATTTCAATAAACAAACAAACAATGAAAAAAGGAAAAATGAATTCTGTTTGTAAAATGAAGACATTACAAAAACCACTAACAAAAATAAAAAAAAAATACAGAAAATTGAGAAAAATATCCACTCGTAATTGAAAGGAAAGAAAACTGAATTACAAAAATCCCAAGAGCAACAAATTCATAGGAGGAACCAAAAATGAAAAGCACTGTGACTTCACAACCTTTAGAATAGAAACAAGGATTAATAACTTTGATATGAAAGCTTAGGTACCTTCACTACACACAAAAAGGAGGACGAGGAAAGAGAGAAGTGAAAAAAGATGTTACTGCAATGAAACAGACAATCTTGGAAAATGTAAAAATAGATTGAAAAACCCTAGTGGTTTCAAACCTCATATGTAAGAAAGATTCTTTTTTCCCCTATTTGCAAGAAAATCTTATATCCCTCCACCCTGCCAAAAGTTGAGAAACAAGAAAAAAAAAAAAAAAATCCTTTTCATGCTAATCATTTTTTTCTTTTGAAGGTTGAAAGCCCAAAAATGTTTTTTTTTTTTTTTTTCCCCCCCACAAAATTTACTCTTTAAAACCAGGAAAAAAAAAAACAAAACAAAACAAAACAAAACAAAAACTATTGAAGCTATAAACACTAACTAAAAAATTATAACTATAATGAAAGTAATAAAAAAATTATGATGAATTCCATCGGAATATGCCAATGGAAACTCTAGAAATTTTTAACAGTGAGCTGTAAGATATAATTTTCATTTTCTGTTTTTAAAAAGCAAAAACAATTAAAAGTTCAAAAACACCTATCAATTTCATATTATTTTTAATTTATTGTACAAAAATTTTTTTTTGAAATCTAACAAGAAAATAAAAAACTTAAAAGATGTAAGGATCTTTGAGAACATGATGGGTAATGTTAACGTACGTCTTATCATATGGGACAGACAGAGTTTGTTATTGTCTTCTTTTTGGGCTTCAGTCTCCTCTACCTTTAGAGGGATAACATCTTTTTTGATTTCTAGGGACTAGGGATTGTAGGGCAACATGTGACATGTAATTTGTGATATTGTGTTTTTTTTTTTTTGTCTTTTCTTTTTCCTTTTTTGGAGGTCTTGTTGTCCTCTGACTCTCTTGTACTCCCCTTTTCCTCTTTAATGTTATCTCTCTTTGGTTGGCATTCAAAAAATAAATAAATAAATAAATTGCATTTTCAGTGGGTTCGGCTAGCAACACTCATCCTTGAGTGGGGTTGCCTCTGTTAATACTATGTGGAAGCGTAAGGGGTTTTAGATTGAGTACCACAAACCTAGACAGAAGACACCAACAACATGACACAGAAAAATGTCAACACAGTGGGTTTTTAGGCAGGATACCAAAACATGGCTCGAAGTAAATATATGTTAATTCAAAATTCAAGCATATATAGTTTTGACTAATCTATATTTTCTATAATTCTATGTCAAACCTAGCATAAATTGAAGTTTCAAACTAACCAAATATTACGTATGTTATACCCTTTTGTCATTTTTTCTTCTTGAAATCTTATTATTTTCCTGTTTTAAAAAAGTTACCATTGCATGCTCGACTTATGCTGGCTATAAATACATATTAAATCTTCATTTCAAGGAGAGAAACTTCGAAGTGTGCTCATCTGTTGATCAAACCAAGTGTCTGCTACTTTGAAATTTATTATAAAATTGTGACCACTTTCAAGATGTGGCAGACACATATCTACTATCTAGCATTGTCAACAAGAGTTGCAGTCTAGTTTCCCAAGCTTTCTCTTTAGTGAACAAACAAAGAAGATGAGGATTCAATTAGATGGGGTTTGGATTGACCGTGTGTGCTCTCCTGGTTGTGTCAGAGGTAACACGCCTTTCCTTAGCTACTTTGCAATTTTCTACAGAGAAATGCTATATGGAAAGGGAGTTGGGCCATACATGATTGAGTTTATGACAAATCAAAAGTTGACACATTACTTGCCATGTCATTGTGAGTACAATTGTGGGACTTAAATTTGGGGTCTCAATACCACTTACATTTTTGGTAGGTAATAAAGAATCCAAGTTAAAGACCAACCATAACTAACAGAACTAGTTCACATAATTTGGTTGAGATATTCAATTTTTAGAAACCAAGACCATGCATATATGGATCAAAATTTTGGATTTTTATCTATTCCTCAATTGTCTAAGCAACCAAACTAGCAAGACTTTGCAAGCATTCATTGTATGTAAGTTTGATTAAGAGTTCATACACAAAATTAGACAAAGCAAAATGTAATGAACTCAAATGCAAAACCAGAAATTCCATGTGACACCAAGCAAACCCAAAATGAATCCAAATCCAAGGTGCAATAAATGTTAATAAGGAAATTTAGCTGTTAAACCTAGATGAATCAATAAAGGCACAAAACCAACAAGCAAACATACATGAGTAGAGCTACTCTAGCCCAAAAGTTGGACCTACTTTCCAAACCAAGTGACCTGATTACAGTTTATTAGAATATCTAAAACAACTCTATCTCCCGCATCTTCTCTAATCATCAATCAATCATCTCTTTTACATATGGGCTTATATATCATTTTCCAACATGTATAGTATACCCTGTAAAGGTGTAATATGTTGAAACCCTGAAAAAGCTTGAGATCCAATAACAGAATTTCAAAAACAAGAGTTCGAATCAAAAGAACAGGCAAAACCCACAAAAACCCAGATCATAAAACTGATTGATCTGGTCCAAAATCCAACCAAATTAACCATATATGTGATCTCAATAATCAAAACATCAATGTATAAAGCATGAACAACTACGAAATGGAAGTTTCGGATCCACCCACAAGATGGGCACCAAAAAGGACCCAAAAGTGTCTGGAACTGAGACTGATTGATTCAATACATGTATATATATATATATAAAAAAAAAACACATTAGATAGAGTGAAAGATTGTGAGGAGTACCTGTTGGTGAGGGAATTCTGAGTCTTGTGAAAGGGTTTGAGAGAGAGAAAAAGCGATCTGAGAGGTGGGTTGAGAGAGAGTAGAGAGAAGAACAGTATGAGCGCAAGAAGAGAAAGTAAGGGAAGAGAGGTACAACAGCAGAGATGCGGATTAGAGAACACTGCCAAAAACAAAAAGGTAAATTACACTTACACCCTCATGTTGAGTTTAATACATTTCACCCTGACGTTTAAGAAATTACACTAACTCCCTATTATTGTAATTATTTACATAGAATAAAAATATTAAAGTTATGTACTCTCTTTTTTCTTGTTTTACTTTGCTTCTTCTGTTTTTTTTCCCTTTCCTTTCCTTTGCTTTACTTTTTTTTTTTTCAATATAATTTTTTTTTATTATGAATTACTGTCTTTTATATAAGTAAGGGAGTTTGTAAAATAAGATTATTAATTATGGGGTGAGAATGTAATTTCTAAATCGTCAGGGAGTAAGATATAATTAGACCAAATCTTAGAAAGTGTGAATGTAATTTACCCAAACAAAAAAGATGAGAATTTTGTGTTTTCCTTTGTTTTGTGTTTTTTTTTTTTGTTTTTGAAATGTTATGTATTGATTTTTGAAAACTGTTTTTGAGTCTTTTTAAAAAATATTTTTTTTTGCCTTCAGTCATTTTTTAAAAATATTTTGATAATTTTTTAATATTTTTTTAAATGTACTTAATCTAAATATATTTGAAAAAAAATTTAAACAAATTACTATTAAATACAAAAAAAATGAAAATATATTACTTTATTATTATTGTTTTCATATTTTTTATTTAGTTGATTATTTTCAATTCCTTTACAAATATGTTACTTTTTAAAGTATATTTTGATTAAGTAAATTTTAAAAAAATAATTAGAATATAAACTAAAACAAATAAAACACACAAAAAAAACAAAAAACAAAAAACAAAAAAAACAAGAAGGTCAAAATCAATTTGAATTATTTTCATATTTTAAAATTTTTTTTTCACATAAACTCTTCCTTTCTCCTTTTGGATTCTATGTTTTTGGGACTACTTTGCTACTTTCTTTTATTGGTTAAATATTTCTACCTCAAGATCCCAAAAAATATTTTTAAAATAAAATACATAATATTTGTTATATAATTTTTATAAAAAAGGAAAAATTAGACGCAAATCCCCTTTAACTTTTACGTAGCAGGTGAAAGATTGAGAAGATTTGTAAGAGTTGTGTTTTGAAATTAGTTGTTTAAGTATTTTATGCATATGTTTTTTTTTCGCCCTTTTTTTACCCTTCATTCATAATTTTGTATTAATTAGAGCATCTCAAATGTTGTATTTTTTTTTTCCACCAGATTTGAGTAAAAACTTCATCTAATATCACATGTTCCAATGGAGGATTTTGAACTTTCATCAAAACATCAGTTGACCGGGCAAACGACCTAGCGGATGTCCAGCCGATCAACCGGCTAGTATAATTTTTTCACAAATTTTTACAAGAAGGTGGTCATCTAGGAGGACAATTGGCTAACGACCCATTGTCCCGTAGTGAAAATGTAATGCTTATAAAAAGTGAATTGATGAAAGCTCACAGCCATTCTCAATTTAGTAAAAGATTTAACATATTCTCGATTTGATACTTATCTAGTGAAACAATTGGTGCAGTAAAAGAGGCATTTTTTTCATCAAATTTAAATTTTATGAAAGAATATGTGAAATGTGAGAGATGGTCTTAAGTGTAAAAGATTGACGTGTGGAGGGCAGATGTCTGGTAGTTTTTCTGAGAAAACCTTCAAAATTTTCACTCAAATAAATTTCATAATTATTTAGAGAAATTTATGAAATTTCAAAAAATTTTACTTCGTACCAAGGGATTTGGCTTTATGTTGAGCTTGAGTGCCTCATATCTTTCTTCTTTCTCTCCACCCCTTAGTATCTCTCTCTTCCTCGCTCCACCCCTTAGTGAAATTTTTTCAATTTTTTTCTCTTTTGGAATTTTATATTTATCGTGGATCTTCTTTAATATATCTCGACAAGAGCATTCTAAAAATATAAATTTTATTAAAATAGATATCTAAATCAAAATTTATTAAATTTTTAAGTTTTAAAATTTTTCAAAAGTGAAAGACATTGAATGCTGAAGCAATGTGTATGTGTTAGCATTGGAATTCAATAAATAAAGGTATTTTCGTTCGAAAATTGCTTCCCCTAGCATTGGAATTCAATAAATAAAGGTATTTTCGTCCAAAAATTGCTTCTCCATTTTCAACGGACCTTAGCTACTACTATAATATTTGTTATATTTTATCTTATAAAATCCTAATATGAGGCACCTTAAAATAAATAATCCCTTTAAAAATTGGCACAAAAAATAAAAAATAATATATATATATATATAACATTTTAAAAAATAAAATACAAAATATTTGTTATACAATTTTAAAAATTGGCACCCAAAATAAAAATATGAAAAAATAAGTAAACATAAAAATATATAAAACATATAAAATAAATATTAGCTGAGAATTATCTTTACCTAAACCTTGTATTATATTTGACACAAGCAAAATAATAATAATGTCAAAGTTAAATAATTCAAATTATTAGAATACCGATACAGTTTCAACATCTTCAAGTATTTTAAATGGGCCGGTCCTACTCACCGTCTCTTAGCCCAACCAAACCAAGCATCATCACAAGGGTGAAGGTGTCGTTTGATAATACTTACGTTTTTAATTTTTTGTTTATATTTATAAAAATTTTAAAAATTCAAATAAAAACTTGTTTGGTAAACTTTTGATTTATAAATCAGTGGTCTCAGTTTATAAATTTGACCAAAAAATGTGTTTCCGTTTTGATTTTTGAGTTTTTTTTTTTTTTAGCCCCAAACAATAGCCACCACCCGCCACCACCAGCCACCCACTACCACCAGCCACCCACCACCCACTGTCACCACTTTCCACCACCGTCTTCCGTCGGCACTTGCCATCACTTGCCATTTCTCACTCTTTTTTATATTTTTAAATTTTTTTAAGTATCTTGTCAATTACCAAACGCGTTTGTAGTTTATGCTTTTCTAAAAATAAACAAAAATCAGTTTATAAAATTTTTGTAAATATAAACTGAAAACGTAAACGTTACCA